AGCAAATGCCAGTGTGGTTGACATGTTATTATACATTCTTATATAATAAATACACAATGTTTCTCAATGCCTAATTTCTTACACTTGCTTTTAACTGTATTATCACAAATTACTACAGAGTAAGGAATGTTTCAAACCAAATTATTGTTTAACTCACCAGGAAAGTGATACTGCCTCAATAATTGACCAGTCATACATGTTTAGCTGCTTGGACTGTTCTTGGGTGACAAATAACCAAATGGAAATGATTAAGATGAATATTTCTTTTTCTTTTTTTCAAATGATTTCATTTCCACATTTTTTAGTCAGTCACAGCTACTTCTCAAAATATGATTTATTTCTGCTGAAATTAGTTAATTTAATGGACATACGAGGCTCACAACATATACAAAGTCATCATGACTAAAAAATATTGAGAAATTTACTGTAGATCTCAGAAGGGTAAGTACCAAAACAAAGCAAGAAAAATGCACTTTTTTCATCTTGGCAAGCATTACACCTTCTAACCGACGGTGTTTTTTAGTTATGCAAATACATTTAATGGCAATTTCATTTTTGTAGTAAGTAGAATATTCACTTAACATATTAAAGTTTGTAAAATGCAATTAGAAAATAATGTTTGGTTCACTCTGTACATATTTTTACACAAAACATCATTACCTTAAGAGCTAATAAAAGAAGAAAAGTCTCAACACTATAGAATCCCCTGTCAACAAAATCTCCCATGAATAGGTAGTTTGTTTCAGGAACATCTCCTCCAACTTTGAACAGTTCTTTCAAGTCATAGAACTGGCCATGGATGTCACCACAAACCTAAAAAAAAAAAAAGATATTCAGTGTGATAATTTATAACAAGTTACTTCAATAATTTCAAGAAATGTTATACAAAGAACTGTTAGTGGCCTTTCATGCTTCAAACTGTATTGCAGTTTTTGGGTATGCTATAAATAACAATGTGCAATTATCATTAAGCTTGTTCATCCAATATTTTTAAAGTTTTGTTCACCTACAGAGGCTACCTTATTATAAATTATTACAAAGTTAACTATCTAAATTAAAGACACACATCTATCTTTGGACTTTATTAACCCATAATGCATTGTCTTTAGGCTTAGTTCTTGTACAATTTGTTTCACATTTTCTGTTAACCTTCTATATCAACAGTCTTGTATTTATGTGTGTTGTGTGTGTTGCATCATGATTATTCATGATATACTTTCTTCCTGACATAGGTCAGAGCTACTACTCTCTTTTGGTAAAGAATATATTAAAAGGGTATTAATCATAAAAAAATAACAAAGGATTCTAACTTAGAGGTAATAAAAATGATCAAGGTACTTTATCTTACTCAAACATATTAAACTCCTTTCACCACTTAATATGAACAATGTTTAACACTAGAAAAGACAGTGATTATAATTGAACAAAACTAAATTAATGTGTAAAATGGGATAAAGGAAGGATTGTGAACACAAAGCTTGTCGAGTGTGGGATAAAAAAAGTTGAAAGAGGAGTTTATGAAAAGTTAAAATGAAGTTATAGCAGTATTATATAACATGAACAAAGTGAAAGATTCTCTTGATTCAGATGTACAAAAGTTTTAATTTTTTACAATTTATGTACATATGCACACACAAACATAAATATATATTTTTTAAGTGATTATGATGAATTACAAAAAAGTTTTAGATATAATTTGCTTTAAATAATTATTATATTTTACCGTTACTGGAGAATCAGTTCGTTGAACATTACTTTCTTCTACTAAAATCTCTCTGGCTTTGGTACAAAGGGCTTTCACCTCACTTTCTTTAATGGTTTCACATCGCCGTAATTGTTCGATCTGTCTGTCAAGATCACTACAGTCTCCCATCCTTCAACCTTCCTACCACTGAGAAAAAATCCTCTTTTAAAACCTAAAACATGTTTTCTACTGACACAAGTTATAATCTTCCTCCAAAGCTATAACTTTCCTATACTGAAAATGCATTTCCAATACGTTCTTACTTCTACTCACATAAATAGCTATTCTTGTTCAGTGCTGCTCTCTATATGCAAAATTTTTTTGCATGCCACATACCCATGATCAACATGGTTCAATTGCATCTTGCATGCAAATCATCATGCGACAACACTCCACCAATAGGAGCGTGACACATCCTCCTAAGTTTTAGCAGAAAATGGAAGCAAATTTATAACTTCCAATATGGTATATTACCTCTTCTCACATAAATAGCTAGAATACCACATTGAATAGATGGAGGGACTGGTGTGAGGGAAAGAAAGAAACATCCTTTGAAAGCATCTAAAGAACACCCTAAAAGGTGTGTTCCTCATTAGAGGATCATACATGGAAGATTGACCACTTCTGTACCATGTATACTCTATGCCCATTGTGGAACAAGAGGTGATGCAGACATGGGTGAAAAAAAGGTGGAGTACATCCAAAAGGGAAAGAACAATGGTTGGATAGGGATCCAAACTACCCAATATCCAAAAATCAATCCTACAGATGACAGTGATGTGCCCCAAGGTGTAGAGTGGTTAAGGTGCAACAGACTGTACACAACAAGTCAACTGCATCCAAAACCCAGCCACCAGGAACCAACATCCATGTGGGGGGTAGAATGAGGATCATACTATTTATAAGCCAACTACAATCCAAAACCCAGCAACTGGGAACCGAAATCGATGTGGGGGTAGGAAAGAGGATCATACTGGCAAGTCAACTGCAATCCAAAACCCAGACATCTGGTGGGTATAAGAAAGAGGATCATACCATCTTCACCTCAAGTTCAGCAGACTGGAGGGAAATATCATACCAACCAATCTGTGAACAGGACACATGATAGCAAAGTAATAAAATGTGTGACTGATCCGGAGACCCAACATCCCTATGATTAGAATAATAAAGATGTCCCTGTATCATAAAATATCCCACTCAAAACCAATCAGAAAGGAACCACCCCCAACAAAGTAACATCCTTGGTATATGAAAATCTTTGAGAGATAGCGCAAGAGGAAAACTGTAGTAACCTGCATGACCATCCCCCATGACCCACAACACAGTAGCATTGAACATGAGTCCAACTGAGTGAGGGAACAGAAACATCTGTAATACATGTGTGAGGACTTGTGTTGATTGGTCCAGCTCTGAATCCAAAACCCAGCCACTGGGAACCGTGTTGGGATAGGATGGGGGAACCCAATCAAAGGGTGAAGTGCAATTTTCACAGCCAACTCCAAATCTACAACATCCCCTTATATAAACCTGTTTAGAGATAGAGCATCAGATTAAAGGACATCTCCTCATCCACATTAGTAAAACACAACCACCCGACTCTCAACTGAATGGATTCATTATTGTATGAAATATCATTATCACATTCAGGGAGATATCCCAGTGGCTTGGAACTCCTGTACTCCACTGGAAGAAAAAAAGGGGAGAAAATGCAGTGGAGAGTCTGAAGGAATGTCAACACTGGAGACAGTGCAATAGGAGACCACAAAAACTTTATTTTGAAAAGTAGACCATTTCTCATTTATTCAGTCTAAGGAATGGCAGGATTAGCCAGCTATCCCCTTCTGCTTTACCCATGAAGTCCATGGGTTAGTATGGTCCAAAACAAGCATATGAATGATGCAAATATATCGTGAGGAAAAGGTATGAGCAATCTTGTGGAACACCCCACCTCACCAGTGGGCATGTAATTTATAATTGTTAAGTCATCATGGCCTTACAGTGCAGATTTGACTAGTTTAAGTATACCTTGACAGGCACCAGTCACAAAAGAGCAGAATCAATAAAGAAAAATAAGAGGTATATACAAAAAGGTAACTTACACAGTCACAGTTTCACCAAAGAGTGAAGGATGGTGACAGGTGGAAGACGGCACACCGATGAGGAAGAAACTGCTACCTGCAGCATATAATGGGACAAACGTATGAGGTGTAGTCCAGCACTCAATGGAAGAAGTACCTCCAACATATGATGAGGGTCAGATGCAGGTAAAAGGAAAGGTGCGTGCTCTAAGTGAAGACACTAGAAAATGATTAAGGGAAAAGAGACAAGGAAGAAAAGGCCATTCAAATCAAAAACTGAATCCAAAGGGTAAGGGAGGAAGGGAAACGTCACACTCAAAGTAGTAGTGCCAGGAAAGGAAACAGCTGAAAATAGAACCAATGAAAAGAAGCCTTAAAGGCAATGAAGCAACCCAGAGCATGTACGGATCCAACCGGGAACAAGGGTGGGAGATGGAAGGAAACAAAAAGGAAGAACATGTCACACAAGCTGTCAAAGTGAAGGGTAGGAAAAAACCAATCCAGAACAAAAAGAACAGATCGATCTGAAGCAGCTGTGTCAGCCAGGAAGGAGAATTCAGAAAGATTTGACACAGAGTGGCAAGGATAAACAAAATCACCCGGGGAAGATGATGAATGGAATGAGAAAAAAAAGGTATAAGCAGATCCCAATCCTGTCTGAATGCATCAACAGCCAAGGCAAGTGGATGAGGAACTAGAGACGAGGTTGATGTTTTGTATTCTTCCGTCTTCGCACTGTCTTAGGTTTGTTCACCATGGGGTTGGTTACCAATTTCATGCCTTACCCTTTGAGCTTTTTTTGAATCTTTATGTTTTTTTGGGTGTCCTCAGTCCTGGAGAAATGGCCCACCAAAATGTGATAAAAGACAATATAGTAAAAAGAGAAAGAACCAAGAAGTGATTGAGGTGGGAGAGATTGATCACAGAACTTCCATCTGCATTGAGAAGACACGAATAATGGAGGAACTCTTAGAGGTGGGGACAGGTAAATGACGGGAAGGTACTGGACATGGAAAATTAATAAAGAATGTAAATGAGCAACAACAAAAAAAAATCAAATGTAGCAATACAGATACCCCACATGATGCTAAAATCACAGGAGTAACACCCCAAAGTAAAATGGACTGACTGTCGAAAAGAGCCATCCATAAATCCCAGTTAGAAGTGGAAGGGAAACAAACTTAGCAAAGAAGCCACATGTGTAGGGAAAGAGCCAAAGATGGAAATTGTTCCAACATGAAGGTAAGGAGGAGGAAGGTTTCCCATGAAAATCCCCAAGAAATAGGTGGAATGCCTCTGAAAGGTGTATGACATCCAATAACAGTAGGAGAAGTGATAGAGGAAGACAAAGGCTGGAAAACTAAGCTAGGTAGAAAGGGACAGGAGTAACAGATTCTAAAAATAATATCAAAAATATTCAAAAAGCTACAACTGCATAACAGCTTATCTGTCCAAAGTCAGTGGACTGTATTCCAAATGTTTAAGCCCCTAACTCTAGGCCCGATGAAGATCAATTCATATAATGATCAATCTCCCAGTGTATTAGAGCTGACAATTCCTCAGTCGAGAGCTACTGCCTGAAGCCTAGGTAACTGTACTGGAACTAAATGATAACATTTTCGAAGTGGAAACATAAGCTTTGGTGAAAAAAAAAGAAAAAAAAGTGAAGAATAATGAAGGTAAGTTATCACGTAAAGTGAAGTATAAAAAAGTAGGAAATATCTCCACTTCATATTAAATTTTAAAAAATGCAGAAATAGGGCACAAAAAACATCTTGACAGTACTGCCAAATGAGAAGTGATAGTTCAGTAGAATCAAATAGGGGGAATTACATGCATCAGGAGGGTGTATCACATGATGATTTACATGCAAGACACAATTGAACCACGTTGATCTCAGGAACGTGGGAGCTCAAGGCTTTGGCATGTAAAAAACATTTTACATATAGAGAGCAGCTGTTTATGTGAGAGGAGGTAATGTACTGTTTTGGAAGACAATTTAAGTTATTTGTTTTCTATGGCATAATAATTTGACTTGCTTTTCTTCTCCTTTCAAAGATAATTCTCTAAATTATTTTAGCCTTAACTACATATTACTAAAATGTAAATACATCACACTGCCAAAATACAAATTTTGTAACTAATACAGCATAAGCAACAAAATTCGTACAATGATATTTAGTAACAAACTTGACTACATAACCTGCGGGTTACTTGTTCAACACTAGTAAGAACATATAAATAACCTGTGTTGTATGTTAACCTGTGGGCAAGTTATTTAACATTTGTACAAACAAATGCTAACCTATGACTCAAGCTTCTTCAGTACTTGTTACAGGTTATTTGTTCAACAGTTGTAAGAACATGCAATGTTACCTTCATAAAAAGATTAATATCAAACTATGATGAAACTTGAGAAGGATGCATTTAATAATTTAGTACTGGTATATACAAAAAGTTACTTTCCTGTGTTATTCTCTATTAGTCAATGAAGGCTACTTGTAGTATAAATAGTAACAATGTTCTTATTTTCAAGATCTGAAACAAACTTGTACAATATTTAATACTAATAGTTGTAAGAGTACAAACTTAAAATAAAATTATTTTGAAAATTGTTATTTTTAATTGCTTACTGAATATATTGTATATTTGGTATTTTGACAAATAAGAATAAGCTTTCCAAATGAATGTGTTTGGAATACTAACATGAGAAACAATTGTTATTCTTCATCTGTGCCACTGGATGCCTTTTCTGTGTATCACTTGGGGGTAAGTTATTTATATGTAAAATTACTTCAACTGTGTAACATTCACAACAATATTAATGTTGAAAAAGATATTGTTATGATTTTTAAATATGCCCTAAGTTTTTGATGATTTTTCACACCATTGGTATTATGAGAAAAGTATCTCCATATGTAACTTTAAGTTTATATAAAATTTGTGATTGCATTAAATGTTTTCTGTGGTTAGTATTATATCATTATTTATGTTTCAGATAGCACTCTTTTTGTTGTTGTTTTTGATGTTCTCTAAACTCGATTTATTGCTTGATTGTTTAGATTATTC